TTTTACCTGTGTACCTCAGACCAGAATGGGGCCCTTAATTTAGGAGTTTCAACCTTGTCTCTAGTGTCAGTTTTTAATCAATACCCAATTTAGTGCAGTTCGGCATGACTCTCTCTCTCATATATATGTAGAGATCAGATCTCGCTGTTCAGCTTTGGTAAGCAGTGGATGACCGGTGTATCAAGGGAGGCTAGGCATTGTAGACAGCCCTCTAGATGTTGGGTTCCAGCACATGAGTTATTGACTTGATGCTGCTCCAGACTCCTGAATTTACTTGGTGTGTCAGCCTCTTTTCCAGCAATGCTTCTACTCTGCAAGGACATAAATTTCAGCTTCCTGGCAGTGCTAATCATCTGTGCACAGGAAAGGGCCAGTAGCACTCTTGTCCAAGAGTACATGAGCTTCCGTAGCAAGGGGATGTTGAGAGATCAGCCACAGCATTAAATCCTGGACCATTGCAGGAGAGGGTTCCTTCCCCAGATACGAGTATGTAGACAGACCTTCGAGCTGGTCCAGGGTGTCGTTCCCTGTCTGAGACTGGGGTATCAGCCAACTGGAGATAGAGTAGGTTGGTGTCATCTGTTGCAGCTCTTCAAAAAGACTTAACAGCAACGGGATCTTGTCGAAGGTCTGGCTGAACTATGTGCTCTGGCACATACAGACTGGCAGTTCAAACAGCAATAATAGGAGTGGCCTAATTCAGCTCTGTGTCGACAAGCTGAGTGTAGCAGCTGCCCCCCCCAACCGCAGAGCGGCAGTCTGCTGGGTCAAACACCAGGGCTAGTCCAGATGTACAAAGGACTGAAGGCTTCGCTCCCCAGGAAATTCCCAATAGTTTTCATATCAAGGCATTATGGGAAGGGCTCTTCATTTTCCTATTCTGTGTGAGGCTGGTATGCCAGGCTATGGTAGAGTTTTACTCCCACGTGTGTGACAATGAAATTAATGGATTATTGAGGTTGTTGAATCTCATCAGCCTCACAGTCAGAGCAAGCTGGAAGGGAAGTACAGATGTTTGTTTAGCTAAAAAAAGATTCTTCTGAGCTTGACAGGCCATAAACGTAAACTTTTTTTTTTTTTAAATTTGAGACCCTAAGCGAAAATGGATTTAAAATGCTGTCCCCTCCCCCTTTGGCTCTCCTCCTTAGGTTTACTCTACTACAACAGGCAAGCATAGTAAATATTTGAGGTTTTTAATTATCTATGTATCCTTAAATTACTGCACCAGGATATAACATGAAAAAGGGAGATAATGCTGTTACAGCCTTAATCAAGACTCTGATCCTTCAAACAGTTATTCACATGCTTAACTTTATGCATGCAAGTACTACATGTAAAGTTAAGCACCCAAGTAATTGCAGGATTGGGGGCTTTTGTTGTAAGGGACTCTCTCTTATCATGAGCTGTAAGACACCTAGAACAATAAAGCCCTGATCTGGCTGGGGTTAAAAATGACAAAAACAAAAAAGACACCAAATCTGCAACCTGCTGTGCATGGATACAGAGATCTGTCCATCGTGAGCTGTTTAAAGGATTAGACCCTTAAAATGTCTTGGCATTTATTGGTTTCTATTATAATTTTAATGTCATTTTAGTCTTTTAAAGTATTGTTTACATAAAAATAACTTTAACAAGTGCTTAATTTCTACCTGATCTATCAGAATGGCTCCTGCGTTAATAGACATAAATTGGAACTGTACCTGTGTATCTAAAAATACATTTAGGCATATTATTATACAACATTCTTCAAGACAGGATTTGTACCTACTTTTCCAGACATGAAGAGCTGTCAGTTAATCCAAGTGTTTCCCCTAAACTGCTGGACAGGTCATAGGAGTTCTTTGACAGGGTAAATTAACAATACAAATAACTGCAAGTAGAAGTCCTCTCCCCCATTTATTTCTAAAATGCTGTATAGATTACATTATATTTTTCAGCCTTTGCTGATAGAGGTACTTTTTGTTATGAAGAACAATGGGAAAAATAACCATTAATCCTAAAATAAATTATTCAAAAATAGTTTACACACAAGAGTTCTGCAAGTTTTAACTATCTGGTAAATTTGAAGAGTCTGTGTTGTACACTTACTGCAGTCATTGGGGGGCACATAAAAGGTCTAACACTGAGTGCTAAATTTCTTTAAGGACCAATTCTTAATTCCTAAAGTAAATAAACAGTTTCATTTGTAAATTCTCAGAAAATTCATCTTGCACTCAAAGAGTAATTGCTGTAATTTTTGGGAGGATAGGCTTTATTTTTCCACTCAGAGAAGTTGAATCCCTGCTTTAAAGGCAAAACTCAACTCATCCTTTACTATGGAATTATTCCTGCATATTTAATGATAATTGAATATATATTCAAACATACATTTTAATTAAAAACAAACTTCCCAAGCCAATCACAATACACAAAACAAATAAAAACAAAATAATTTATGTCTGAAGTTATCTTGGTATTTGTTGTGACAATTACCCAATTAATGAAAGGAAAAATAAAGAAAAAAGTGACTCTCAAAATCACAATATTTTCTAATATCAAGTAGGCAGCACTATGCCTCTACATTTTGCTAATTCCAGAAATAGTTTAACCATGTCTGGGTTAGAACTTTAGAGGGTTCAAAATTCCACCCTATTTTCCTTTTCCCAGGAAGAAACCAATCATAGCAAAGTACTTATTTATTTTCTTCTTATAGTATGCCTGTCTAAATAAATACTTGTTATCCAATAAGAATTCTCATCAGGGTCTTACATTTTAATATAAATATCTATAGTTAAAAATATCCCAACCAACATTACACAAACAAGAAAGAAAGAAAGAACTTAACTTCCCCCCTTCCCCTCAGGTGGAGTCTTTTTGCATCTACAGTGTCTCAATATTACCCACATCCCCCTTATGAATAGAACAGCAGGGAGTTGCATGGGTAGATCTAGGTGGAGTCAGTTGCCACACCCCCTCAAGTCAGCTATAAATTCAGGCCAAATCTTTTTCCTCAGTTTCTCTCTATCTAAAATGTTTGCTGCTAAGATGACTACTATTCCTAGAGGCCATGGTTTCAAGCAGGTAAAAACAAAGATGTTTCATTTTGTAATAAAAAACTGATCCCTGAAGGCAATGCCTTATAATTAGAAAGGGTTTATATTTGAGTTTTCTAACACCTTCAGTTTGTGTTGGAATTTAAAAGTGTTTTTCTTCAATTTTATGTTGTGTGGAACAAAGAAATACACAAATCCTTGATGGAAATGCCTTGGCCATATCTGGAGGGAAACCTGTTTGAGTAATGTAATTATTGCTTAAACTGTAAGCTTTTTGGATCAGGAACTATCTCTTTGGTGTGTATTTCTAGAGGGCTTAGCACTATGGGGCCCTGGTCCATGTCTGGGGATCCTTAGTGCAATAAATTACTCTTTTATCCTTATTCAGTACCTTGACTCCTGTCTTTGCTGTAATCACAGCTGTAATAATCTTTATGGAGTAGAAAGTCATAGCAGCAACCTAGGGTATGATCTTACACTATCTTTTTTTGAAGCAATTCCTTTGCCTTTTTAAGGGTCTGTCTTTGATTAATGTATACACTCCTTTTGTAGTTAAAACTAAACTGCATATTTCCTTTAGTTGCTGTTCTTCAACCTATTCTGTCTGACTCTGTAGCATACTTATACAGACTAACTAGGATCATCCTTAATGCTTACGGTGCTTCATGTGGTGCTTTGTATGAGAAGTTGTTAGAAATAAAATGAAAGCTTTCTATATTTGTATGGTGCCTAGCACAATTTAAGGTTTCAGAGTAACAGCCGTGTTAGTCTGTATTCGCAAAAAGAAAAGGAGTACTTGTGGCACCTCAGAGACTAACCAATTTATTTGAGCATACGCTTTCGTGAGCTACAGCTCACTTCATCGGATGCATACTGTAGCTCACGAAAGCGTATGCTCAAATAAATTGGTTAGTCTCTGAGGTGCCACAAGTACTCCTTTTCTTTTCACAATTTAAGGGACTCCTTCATTAGCAGAATTGGGGCAGAGACTGTCTCTTGGTTTTGTACACTGTCTAAAACCAAGGGCCTCTGAGCTGGTTATGCTAAATACAAATAGGCTCCAATGTTGAATGAGGCCTTTGGGTACTACCATAAAATAAAGGCATTGTTATATATAGCATCAAATATACATGGCACTAGGCAAAAGACCCTACTTGCTAAGTGTGACAAACCAGATATAGTGCCTTTTATATAAGGGGAAATGTGGCAGCTATGTTCTGCAAGGGCTGTGGTTTCTAGCATGATTCCAGTGGAAGTTTTAGAAATGGTGAAGGCATCAACTACTGTTTGAGGCCCACCTTGCGGGGGGAGGGGGGGACAGCCTTTTTGGGGAGTACAGGGATGGCCATAACCACTGCAATGCTGTCTGTGCATGGGTGGTTGGTGGATTCAAACAAGGGCTGCTCCTAGTCTGTGTCTAAACCAAATGATAGCTGGTTTCAATAAGCTCAGAATAGCCACTACTTAACAAAACCAGAGAACTGGCATTGGAATCAGGGAAAATCACAGGAATATGCAACATGAACCACATTTTTGTGCCATTCTCCTCCCTTTCGGCCACTGAGTTGGAGCCAGTGCCTCTCTTCCAACCTCTGCCACCCAACAGGCTGGCCGTGGGTGGGAGATGGGGCTGGGGCAGTGGCTGCTGCCCTGAGAGGACTCCTCAAAGGGAGCCGTGCAGTGATCTCAAGTCTCAGCTCCCCTTGTTCCTCCTGGTTGTGTGGGTCCAACTCCCCCCCCATGTAAGGCTCCATCCTCCTGACCTTCGGGGACGCCTGGCCCTTTTCCCTTTCAGCCCCTCCCCCCCGGCAGCCGACCCTCTCCTGCAGGGGGTGCTGACCCCAGGCCCTGGCGGGTGGCTCGGCTCCCGCCCCCTGCTCTGAGTTGGGGAGGCGGGAGCGCTCTGCTGCGCGGGGGGGGCGGAGGGAGAGAAGTGTCCCCGCCGCCGCCGGTGGCTCCCTGGCGGCGGCCTGGGCGGAGAGTGTGCGCCTGCGCGCCGGGCTCTTGGAGGGACGTGGCCCGGTTGCCTGGGGCCGGAGGGGCGCGGCGAGCTCAGGGGCAAGGCAGCGGGACAGGCCGGGTGAGGAGCTCCGAGGCGGCGGCGGCTGCGGGCCGGGCTGCACGGGAAGCCGATGTTCGCACTCCGGCCCCGCGGCCAACGCTTCCAAGGTGAGGGGCGGGCGAGACCCTGGCCCCGCGCAGCGGGTACAGCCGGCCGGGGTGGGTACGTACCCAGCCGCCGGGCCTAGGCGCGCTCCGCAGGCTACGGGGACCCCCGAGAGGAGAGCCCGGGGGGCGCCGGGCCGGGGAAGAGTGACAGGGACCTGCCCTTCCCGGTTCCGCGCTCCCTTCCGGCTTCCAGCCGCGAGCCGCCCCCCTCGCTTCTCCCTTCCTGCCCCCCGGGGGCCGGGCCGGATTGTCCCCTGGCCTCGGCCAGCGCTGGAGCTGGGGTTCCCGGCGGCTCAGTCTGCGGAGCCAGGAGATCCGCCTCTCTGCGAGCGCCGAAGGAGCAGCCTCTGCTCGCCCTGCCGTCTCCGGAACGTGGGCGGCGGTGGCTACTGCGGCGAGTTGGGGTTTGCCCCGTGTGGGGCTGGGAGCGGCTGTCTCGGTTTCAGGCTGTGAACCCGCTGCGGGGCAGCCCCCGAGTCACCCGATGGAGCTTCCCTGGGCTGTGGGGAGGAGGTGGCGGTGAGACTTTCTCTCTACTGGGGTTGATTTGGATTCTCCTACAAAATCTATCGGGTACTTGAGTCCTTCTTCCTGACGGCGAGAAATATTAGCCCTGCTCCGACCCTGTGTGAACGCTCTGTCCCAGCCCCACTGAAGAGAGCCCAAGGGGAAGGATGCTCTAGGATAGCACCAGGACTTCATCACAGTGACGCCTCCTTCAGTCATGCAAGGAGGAGGTTCCACTGCGGCATAATCACAACATATTCTGCTGTTACACGTTCATCTTGTTTTGGGGTGTGAAGTAACTGCTGGTATGGTTTCAATTTGTTTGGATTTAGTGCTCTTTACAGGTGGTGGATTGTGGTGATTTAAGTAGATGGAAGCGGCTAGCTTCTAGCCTCACAATAAAATAGCACCCACACGAAAATGTCAACCTTCTTTAGAGGTGACCTAAAAAGAGCTTTCACCTTTTGTCCAAAAGTGATCTTGATGGTCTTATCTAGAGAGTGTAACTTATCTTGATAAAATGGAGTTGACATATTAAACCAAAAAGGTTTGGGAGTTTCACTCTTCCACACCTTTTCTTTGGTTCTTGAAATATTTCATTCATTATAAATTCTTGTCTTCAAACATGGTCTGTACTGTTTTCGTTATGTAATATGGATTAAAAACTGAAAATTTAGAAGTCTCTTAATGTGGTTGGTCAGTGTAGAGTCCTTAGCAACTTTTTTTTCTGTATTTCAACTTGTACTTCTGTCATCATATTTGTTGAGTTACATATAATTCCTGGTTTCAGAGGAACAGCCGTGTTAGTCTGTATTCGCAAAAAGAAAAGGAGTACTTGTGGCACCTTAGAGACTAACCAATTTATTTGAGCATGAGCTTTCGTGAGCCACAGCTCACTTCATCACAGATGAGTGAGCTGTGGCTCACGAAAGCTCATGCTCAAATAAATTGGTTAGTCTCTAAGGTGCCACAAGTACTCCTTTTCTTTTTGCATATAATTCCTGCTTTTCTTTATTATGAAACAGAGGGAGCTGCTTCTGACCAGATGCCCTGATTTTATAGGGAGTCCCGATATTTGGGGCTTTGTCTTATATAGATGCCAATTACCTCCCACCCTCTGTCCCGATTTTTCACCCTTGCTATCTGGTCACCCTGGCTGCTTCCTAGTTAAACTTTAAACTGATTTGCCATTATCTCAATTTCCAATCCCACAACTTACCAACATTTATATACTTCAAGAAATCCTAGGATAGTTATTCCCCAAAAGAAGCTTGATTAAACACTTGAAGTCTTGTTGTTCTGAAAATGTACATGATCACTCTTCAAAAATTCAGGTGTTCTGACTCTTATCTCCAAAATGGCTCAAGGTATGTGAGTGGAAGGCTAATGTAGAAGGTAAAATCCATAATAGGAATAAATACCGCCTGTGATGCTCTCAGTTAGATGCGGGAAGGGGTTCATAGACCTCATTAAAACAGCATTATTAAACTGAGCCAGTGGAACGTTGATAGGGTGTGAGAAGGAAAGATACAAGCCAAACATTTTCCACTTGAGTTTATCCAAGGAATCATGAAGCAAGAATGAACGAGGAAATGTAAGGACTATATACTGCCACTTTGGAAGTTGACTATTTTTCTTTGTGACATATCTGTTGACGGGAGGTGGGGGAGGAAAGGGGAGGAGAAGATTTGGGGTAGAATAAAGAGAGCCTGGGATTTCATTCACTAATCTATTGGGGTGTGCTAGAGAAATGCTCTGCCAAGGAATGTGCCCCTTAAAGTGCCATATTTTATTTACCCTTTCTGCTCTCTGCAGTTACAGCCTTTGTTGTGCTTTTACAGATTGGTTTTTCATGTATACAGATCAAGACTATGGGTTGTTAGGGGAAATGTAGGGGGGGGAGGAGGAATCTGGAAGGAGGTATGATGGAGCCAGTGGAGTTGGAGGGGCATGAACAGGGGACTAGGTGGCATGAGACTGTGCTGCCTGGTGTTGGAAATCTTAATGTGTTTGAGCAGGAAGCAGACAGTGGTGGGAAAAATTGAAAGGTTGAAATGGGGGAAGTGTAGAGAGGAGACGGGGGAAAGATGCCTGTGGTCCAGAGTAATAGAGAAGAGACAAAAATAGTGACTTATGTTTACCACTTAACACAAAGTATCAGTTGCTTACAGTCATCATCCAATTAATAATGGTTGTAAATAGACTGGTAGCAAAATGAAGCTGGGAGGAAACCCCCCTACAATGGGATTTTTCCCTGAAACGCTTCCCTCTCCAGGAAGTGAGATTCTGTCCTGCTGGTGCAGAGATATAAAGTCAGGATTTAAAGAAATTCAAAACAATCTTATTTAAATAATTTTTTAAATTTTTTATTACATGTTGCTTGTTCTCTACTTTCTTCCCATTTTATAGTCTTCAGTTGTAAAATGGGTGTTCTGTACTTGTTTCTTCAGTTTACTAATTGTTAATAGTCCTCCAGATTTTATGTAGAGATTTTTTTCTTAGAAGTTTCACACTTAAAATGCTCATTTATTTTTTTAAATGCTCTTGCATATGTACTCTAAGAATAACAAGTCGTAAATTAATAAATTATAACCCCTCCTTACTGAAATAGCCTATAATAAATATCTCTCTTGATTCCACTCGAATTCACCTACTTCTTGAAGGCCTGGTAAAACAGTATCTCTTATGTACAACATAGCCAAAATTAATAGCACAATCTTAACTTTTCCTGAAGTAAATAGCAATGAAAAATATAATTGTTAGGCTACTGTTCACAAACTGAGAACATGTAGCCCACTGGCTTATAGATGGCACACTGAGTTAATGCATTTCTTGCCTATTTATAGGTTTATTTGTTTGTAAATGTTGATTTAGTTGACGGTGAAAAGCTAGTATGGTTTCCTCATAGGCTCTTGTGGATGTTGGCTACAGGACAAAATAATGCTAAACTTGCTGTCTTTTTGGAAGAATGTTAAATGGGATAGAAGGGGTAACGGAAGTTGGGACTAAAGTGTATTGGCACAATGTATAGGGAAGCTTGAGTGAATCATAGAACTGGAAGGGACCTCAAGAGGTCATCTAGTCCAGCCCCTGCGCTCAAGGCAGGACCATGTACTATCTAGACAGGGGTCCTCAAACTTTTTGAATTGCACACCCCCAGGACCAGCTCTGGGGAATCGCCAAAAAAAAAAAGAGGTGCCGCCAAGAAGACGGCGTGGGGAGTGTCGAGCTGCCGCCGGCGTGCTGGCAGCACCTCTTCGGCAGCACTACTTCTGCCATGCACCCCCATGTATGGTCTTGCGCACCCCACTTTGGAGACCACTGAGCTACACCATCCCTGACAGGTGTTTGTCTAACCTGCTCTTAAAACCTGCTCTAGAACCACCTCTCTAGGCAATTTATTCCAGTGCTTAACCATTCTGACAGTTAGGAAGTTTTTCCTAATGTCCACTCTAACCCGCCCTAATTGCAATTTAAGCCCATTGCTTCTTGTCCTATCCTCAGAGGTTAAGAACAATTTTTCTTCCTCCTCCTTGTAACAGACTTTTATGTACTTGAAAACTGTTATGTTCCCTCTGTCTTCTCTTCTCCAGACTAAACAAACCCAATTTTTTCAATCTTCCCTCATAGGTCATGTTTTCTAGACCTTTAATCATTTTTGTTGCTGCTCTCTGGACTTTCTCCAATTTGTCCACATCTTTCCTGAAATGTAGCGTCCAGAACTGGACACAATACTCCAGTTGAGGCCTAATCAGCGTGGAGTAGAGCAGAAGAATTACTTCTTGTGTCTTGCATACAATACTCCTGCTAATACATCCTAGAATGTTTGCTATTTTATGCAACCGTGTTACACTGTTGACTCCTATTTAGCTTGTGATCCACTATGACCCCCAGATCCCTTTCCATAGTACTCATTCCTAGGCAGTCATTTCCCATTTTGTATGTGTGCAACTGATTGTTCCCCCCTAAGTGGAGTACTTTCATTTGTCCTTATTTAATTTCATCCTATTTGCTTCAGACCATTTCTCCAGTTTGCCCAGATCATTTTGAATTTTAATCCTATCCTCCAAAGAACTTGCAAGCCCTCCCGGCTTGGTATCATCTGCAAACTTAATAGTGTACTCTCTCTGCCATTATCTAAATCATTGATGAAGACATTGAACAGAACCAGACCCCAGAACTGATCCCTGTGGGACCCCACTTGTTATGTCCTTCCAGCAGGACTGTGAACCACTGATAACTACTCTGGAAACGATTTTCCAACCAGTTATGCACCCACCTTATAGTAGCTCCATCTAGGTTATATTTCCCTAGTTTGTTTATAAGGTCATGTGAGACCGTATCAAAAGCCTTCCAAAAATCATATACCACATCTTATGCTTCCCCCTTATTCATAAGGCTTGTTACCCTGTCAGAGAAAGCTATCAGGTTGGTTTGACATGATTTGTTCTTGACAAATCCATGCTGTCTGGTGACTGTATTTCATATGCATA